TCCAGGCTTTAGAGCACACTCCTGAAAAAAGGCTGAATGTTTTGGTGAGAAGTATTTATTGGCTGCAGCATTACCCCGAGGAAAACTGAACACCAGAAACCAGGGCAAGAAAAAAACCCAGCTGATTTCTGGTTTTTGGGAGGTTTCCTCAGAATAAAAATTTTAAAAATTCAATTATCATGATGAGAAAAGTAACAACTGTATTGGCACAGAACTCACAGGAACAATGGGATGAAGATGTGAAATTTTGTTCACACCCAAGTACAAAACCCAGAGCATTTGCACTCTGTTAAGAAAACATCTCTGCAACACTGAATGCCACTTGTGATATTGACAACCAGGAGCTACTAAAGCAAGTTTCTGTCCTGATGAGTGAACTGGTCAAGTTTTGCAGCTGCAGGACTGCAAAGGACAGGATCATTTTGGCTTTCTAGTTAATGCTAGCCAGCTTCAAAAGGATCCAGTTGGGATCCATGGTTTCTGGGATCCAAGGTTTGACCCAGTATAATGACTTCAGAGCCATGCCACTTTAACACAAAGCTGGCGATACTGGAGTGAATCCCTTCTCTCACACCACAGTACACTAGCTGCTTAGCTGTGCCATGACACCTCTTTTCGGGTCATGTTTTCAACATGGATGAATAACTAACCGAAATTATTAAATGTCCTAAGCAAGTGGTTTTAAGGGCAGAGCAGCTGAAAGAGCTGGGGAAGAAGTAGTTGTGGATAGGAACACTGAAGCACTGGCTCCATTTGCTTTCTATTCCAAAAGTCAGGGTATTGCTCCTACCAGACAATGTGCAACGGTTGCAGTTTCTCCTACTATGTTGAATAGGAAGGTCTGTTTTAAAAGATACCATGGTAACACTGCTGTGGCTTTGGAACTCCCAAATCTCTCTGTTTCATCCTTGCCAAGGTCAGTGTTTGATAACAGTATCAGGAAAGAAGAAAACACCACCAACTCACCACTGTATGAAAACTCTAAGAATTAAGCTCTTCTGAAAGCAATCAAGCTAAGCCTGCCCCAGCACTCCAACAGGCATCAAAGAAAGGATGCTGCAAAATCAGGACTATTGTGTTACTCAACATATTAACCCAAAAGTAGCTGCTTGACTAGTAGCTACAAAGCAGACCTTGTACCCAATGGCAGAGATTCTGTTGCCAAGCAAATACTATATACACTTAGGAAAAGGGCACAGAGAAAGTTCCAAAAGCTTTTTAGTCTGTAATGTCATTATTTTATACTCACCATAGAAAGCAGGCCAGGAGCAGAGTGTTTCAGCTTGAAATTTTCATCTGCAAAAGGACCTCTATATATACTGGCTACTCCAGTGCCATCTCCCTGCATGACAGAGGTACCCAGTCAGCGACAGCATGTGTTCTGTAGCAACTGCTACAGAACAATTCAATTTAAAAATTAATTTAAAATCTCCAAACAAGAGGAAAGGGCAAAATGGATTATGTATTGCCATTTACATACACCAGCAGGGAACACATACAGTGTTTCATTTCTGAGCAAGAACAGCAACCGGTTTCTAACACGTAGTTCACCGTTCACCATTCTTACGTTGGCAGAAGCCCATGCAGATGGTAAGTTTAAGTCCAAGCCTCCTAGAGTGAAGTGGAGGCAACAGATTGCTTGGTACAGACCCATCAGGACTTGGAAGGGAAAAGGGAGGAGATACAGAAGTATGGGATGGTGTGACACAGAAAGCCGAAGTGGTTGCATGGCAAAAGTTGGCTTATAGTGGTTTTATGTATTTCACCTTATTTTCTGTGACTTTATCAGAAATAGGAAAGCAATCTCTCTGTTCTACAAGGACAATTTCTAATATAAAGATTTTCTGTTTACGTTGCACTTTCTACTAAGTCCCTTTGCTCTACTTGCACAGCCCTTGTTTGTTTCCCTCCTTCTCTCTGTAGTTTGCTTAAACTTTTGGCTTTGAGAAAGAAACTTGCACCCTGTCTCAGGGGTCAGTGTGACTGTGCTTGCTCCCCAGGTGGCTCTGTGATAAATATAACATATAAATTTCAAATACTGGAGCAATGTGTAAAGCTCGTTGAGATGCAGTGGAAGTAATACATGCACTGGGACATCTGAGCAGTGTCACAATTAGCAACTACCACAGAGTCTGGTGTTGCTGGACTGCTTGCTGTGTGGTCATTTCTCTCAGAAACTTTCATACAACCATGTTTTATATTGAAAAAAAATCTTTATTGCTTCCCTCATATTTTGAAACACTTCCAAAAATAAAATAATTTTACTGAATCCTAGAACAGCGAAGAGATCCTGTGGCCCTTCAGCCTCACTCATACATTCTGCTTTTCCCCATATCAGAGCACGACCACCATTGTGAGCGCAAAGACTTTTCTATTTTGAGAAAATTTAGTAACAAAAGGATAGTTTTGATTTAAATGACGTCTTATATTATGCACTGGGTTCTGTACTTAGGGTCTATCTACAATGTGAATTGAAATTCACAGAGGTTTTTGTCTGGAGGAGGACAACAGAAGGGGGAAGAAAAACAGGGCAAACAAAATTTTTCAAGTTTTGAAAGCTTCCAGGGTTTTGGCAGGCTATTGCAGAGAGAAAATATTTTGGGAAAAATGTGTGTTCACCCAAGGCTCCATATTTGTTTTCAGGCGGTTTAATGTCCATTGCAGTAGGATGGCAGCAATGCTATGAGGATACCTCCAGTTACTACTGGATACCTCAAAAAAGAAAGAGAGCCCACAAATCAGCACAGACCCTTGGAAACAGTAGCATGTTATACCATAGAGGAAAAGGACAAAAAGAGTACAGGAGTACATACATTTACGAAGTCACCTCCTTGGATCATGAAATCCTTTATTACCCTAAAGAAGTAAAACAACACTTAGTTCTCAGTGGCCAAAAGCCTCAAGAAGCTCAGTGTAAGATGAAAAGCGGTTCTGCCTTGCTGTGCAACAGAAGCTAATAGTCTGTGAATGCTGCAGCTTAAAACTGACAACATATATTAATTAATGGTTGATATGAAGTCCTTTAGGACTCATTGCTTTTGAACAGGGATAGTGATTATATCATACATGCAGTATCTGATGTGGCACACCAGAAACAGAGGATTCCTCCCAGTGGGGAGGACAGCATCCCCAGGTCCCCCAAAGCCATAGAATTACATTAGCCATGATCCGCAAATGTCTGCAACACCACTAACAGCTCAAGGCAGGTCACAAAACCCCATATGGCTCAGGCTGCTATTTAGTGTCAAAACAACAGTAGATGATTTACCTGTGGAAAGTGCTTCCTTTATAACCTATAGGGACACCATCTTTCCTGTAGGGAAGTGAAAAGGAGAATTATTGCAACCTACTGGATATCCCAACAGAAAATCGTCCCAGCAATTCAGAGTCCCAAAGGGTTGCCATATACATTAGCAGCTGCCTTGAAATACAACCAAATGCCACAGCCTCTCAGCTGCTGCTGTTGGAGGCATAAAAAAGCCTCGAGTGGGCTCTGCACATGAAATGACTCTGTTCTCTGTAACATACCCACCATCACCTTCACAGGATCCCACTGCAATGTGCAGCATGAGCAGGTGGGCTTTGCAGATAGGGGTTTTTAGAGCCACCTGGGCACACAAAAAGTCGTATAAGAAAGAGAAATCTGCTATCTCTGTGAGTCTCCAAGCCCCTCACAATTTCCTCAGAGCAGATTTCTCTTCCATTTTGTACAACGTGAAAAAGTTCAAGACAAACCCTTTCTACCTCAGGCAGCCCTGTTTCTCCAGTGGGACACTTAAAGGACATTATAATCCACTTACCTGAATTCACCTGTACAAAACTGCCTGGCAAACAAAAAGAGAGCAGAGTGTTAGGTGCATGTGAACTCTGAGGGCTGCACCAACTAGTGCACAGGATTTTCCTTATTGTGTCAGAGATGTTCCCAGAAAAACAGGAACAGGAAATGGTAATTCCTTCCCCCTGCCATTTCAAAACATACTCAGTGCTCTTTGTAGTGAGGAGGTCAGAGAGCTGACACCAAGGTTGTAAGAGACTGTGAATGTAGGGCAGGCACTGTGTTTGACAGAGATCAGGGTATGTCCATCCCTCCAATGGAAGTGGGATTTCACATGGTGAATCCCTCAGTTGATGGCAGGAGAAATGGGTGGCCAGGAGACCTCCACCATGGCACAAGGCACTGCCTGCTCAAAATGCATGGAGCAAATCAGGAGGCTTCACAGAGGAAGCAGAGGAGGAGCCCTTCCAGCCAGACAGGGTCCCCTGAGAGACCAAGATGCCACACAGCACCTCTGAGAACAGAGACACAAAGTAGGTGAAGCAGTTTGGGGTGGGTGTCAGCTAATCAGTTTGCCATTCTTGCACCAGAAAGCATTTGCAGTTCCAGTCCAGGCTGAGCTGCAGGAACGGTAGCTGCTCATTACCTGAAGTTCTCTGCTGTTTTGGGTACAACATCTGCGAACAGCTCGATCTTCATGCGGCCGACCTCCTGAGGAGACGGGGGCCAGGTGAGTCTTCCAGGACCCTCACACACAGACGCCTGCTGCCCGACCCCCGGTACTCCCCCAAACCGGCCACCTCATTCACCCCCATCCCTTCCGGCCCCTCCTGACGTAGTCCTCCTCCTTTGCCCTGCGAGCCCTTCCCACGGGCCCAGTGACCCGACAGACCCGCCATCCGCCTCCTTCACCGCCCCTCCCAGCGCTTCCTGCTGCGGCCCCGCAAGCCTCACGTTGAACCCCCGGCAGCGCTCGTGCTCTCTCATCCCCAAAACACTCCGACATCTCCAGTTATCCCCGCAGTCCCTCCCCGGGCGCCGCCGCTCCCCGTCCTGGAGCACCCCCACCTGCCCGCCGATGGTTACATCGAAGAAAACCACGGGGTTGTTGGGATTCGCTGCCAGCGCCGACATCGCGACTACCACTGCCGGAAGCGGAAATGGCGGCGGAAGTGGAAACGGCGACGAAAGGCGAGAGAGGGACTGGCGGGCGGTGGGGGTAAGGTTGTCCGGGATGTGTGTGGTGTGTCCAGACCGTATCTGTGGTATCCGGGTGGCGTCCGGGGCTCCATCCTGCTGGGGCAGCTCGGACTCCCCAGAGTAGAGCGCTGCTCGGCTGGGAAGACCTGCCCGTTCATCTCCTTGCCCCACTGGGCACACGCCGGCTGAACATGAGCCCAGTTGTGCCCAGACGGGCAAGGAGGCCAATGGCACGTGGGCTGTACCAGCCACAGTGTGACCAGTGGAACCAGGACAGTGACCACCCACCTGTGGTGAGGCGCCTCTAGTCCTGGGGTCAGTTCTTGGTGCTTCTTTATAGAAAAGACATAGCGGGGCAGGAGTATGTCCAGAAAAGAGAATAGAACTGGGGAAGGGTCTGGAGCACAAGGAGCAGCTGAGGGAGCTGGGAGGACTCAGCCTGGAGAAAAGGAGGCTCGAGAGGACTTTCTTGCTTTCCACAACCCCCTGGCAGGCAAATGCAGCCGTGTGAGGGTCAGGCTCTGCTCTCAGGGAACAAAGGACAGGACAAGAGGGACTGGCCTCAAGTTGTTGCAGGGCAAGAGGTTCAGGTTGGACATCAGTAAGAATCTCTATGGAAAGGCTCATCCAGCCCTGGCGCAGACTGTCCAGAGTAGTGGTAGTCCCCATCCCTGGAAGAGTTTAAAAGCTGTGTAGATGTGGCACCTGGGGACATAGTTTAGTGGTGGCCTTGGCAGTGGTGGATGAGCAATTGGTCTCAATCTTCTGGATCTTTTCCACTAATTCCATGATTGCAACAGTTAGGTCTGTGCTCGCTTTCAAGGTTTGATCAGCTGAACACTGCCTATGAGTCGTTTACAGGACATCCTTCAATGTTCTGACTGTGCTTGAGCAGAAGTCATGCTTTCTGTGGCAGAAAGATGAGCAAGGTATGTAAACAAGTGCACTGCAACTTTTCTGCTTGGAAAGAGACCTTTCCTGGACGAGAATCCTGATTTGGAAATTGTTATGTATGCACTCAGTGGCTGAGTGCAGCTGTCTGTGTGCAATCAGTGCTGCAGCTGGGCCTTGCCCTTTCCTTGTGGCAAGAGAAGGCTCCAGTGTGAAGATCAGCCCTGACTTGGCTTGTACAGAACTGGGCTGGCGCAGAGCACTTTTCTGCCACTGAAATGCCAAAATGGCAATGCCTGCTTTTGGTGAGCAAAGGTGATCTATTTCTACACCTTCAGCCTGTGATTGATGACATGGTTTTCTCAGGGCATTTCTTAATGACTCTAAAGATAATTTTTGAGTGTTACTGTTTCCTGAGGGTGAAAATCTACTCAGTGATTTGCATTGGTGAATTGTGTCCTTCAGTGTGTCCCAGCTGTGGTTTTGCTTTAAAAACCCCTGCAGTTCATCTGAAGATACCTTTTTTGCAGGCCAGGGATGAGCAGCAGTACAAGATGAATGATGCCTCAAGACGTCTCTGCCAAAATACATATTTACTTCTCTATGCCAGGTAGGAAGAAGTGTGAAAGGATGTTCAGAATATACTCTCACTTGTGTTACTGATCCTTTTGCTGTTCTTTTCTGATGGGTTTTGGTTTTTTTCATAGGAGAGAATGTCCATTTGTCCAGGTGAGTTCTGTCTGTCTTGCAGTTTGACAGGCCATTTCTTCTCCCTCACTGTTAGGCACTAATCTGGGCTTGTGTAAATTCCCAGATGCATGCTCTCTGAGAAGGGCCAGTTGTGAAAAGGGGCAAAATGGACATCTGAGAGTATAAAGATGAGTCACTGCCTGAAAGGGACAGACATGGCTGGAAAACTGATCTATTTTCCAAAGCCTTGTGCTGCTTCAGTCTTCTGCATGTCATGTCAAGTGTGCCAGAAAATGACAGGCCTGAAGCTGCAAGGAGCTGCAAGAAATCAAGGAGGTGGAGAAAGCCCACACACACTGAGGAGGGGAAGAACTTGAATAGAAGCCAGCCAGACATTCCATCTCCCAGGAGATGCAGGGCACCCTCACCACCAGCTGGGACATGGCCATGGGAGCCGGCTCAGCTGTTCCCATAGGGAGAGAAAGAGCCTCCTGATGGCAGAAGCTCAGGGTAGGATGGTGTAAGAATGAAGAAAGGGAACTTTCTTCATTCATCCTCAAGAGAGGAGGACTAAAAAGTAGCAACATTTGCAACATTGCAACAGTTGCCTCACTCTTTGCCAATGATTTCAAGTGCATATGGGTTCTGTACACACCTGTTCAGTACTGGTCACCAAGCTTCCCAGCATAACCTGCCAGTGACCATCAAAGGCTGCAGATATCTCAGAAGAATGTTGACCATTAAACCTGACATTTGTGATTGAAACAATAAATCCATCAAACCAAACCCAGTCCCAACTGGTACTTCTGATTGTTCTATAGAGAGTTTGACCATGCAAGAAACAACAGACAGGGTTTTTTAAAATTTGTTTAACTCAAGACTTCTTTTATGAACACTCCCCTATGAGGCAGAAAGGTGGATGCTTTGTACACCTGTATTGAAAGAGCATGCAGAGACCTCAGGGAAAAAGAATTCTCAGGAGCAGTGTGGCCAGGGCTCCTGGATCAGAGGCTCAGCTCCCCTGTGTGTGGCTCATGTTCTCCCAAGTGCAACATCCAGGGAGAGATGTCTTTGCAAGAGAGACGGGGAAACCAAGCAACTACAAGCATGGACACTGATAGTCCCCATCAGCAGGGCTGTTTGGTTAAGCAGGTGGATTTCCACTCTTTTTACTGCTTCTTTTGGTGAAGAAATTGGTTTCCTGGCAGACTTGGGCAGTGGAGTTTGATTAAAAAACACAACACTTCACCTTGAAGATGATTCTGCAGTGTCTCACACAAGCTGCAGTTCATATACCTTCTGTCCTATTTCTCAGCTATCCCAAAAATCACTTTCTGAGGCAAAACCAAGACAAACATTTAGGCATTTCTTATCACAGAAAGTATAAAGCACCAGCTCCCAATCCTGCTGTGAAGCTCACTCCAAAATGAGGAAAGCATCCTCTCTGATCTCCACTGCCAGTGCTCGGAGCTGCTGTGCCCTCTAGCAACCAAGTCCAATGAAAAAGGTGTTGGGAGTAGGGGATGTGAGCAGGAGCAGAGTCCAGATGAGCATCCAAGTGCAGGGGTCTTTCTTGGCACCAGTCACGTTCTGGTGACCTGTGTAAAAGTCACTTCTTCAGCAGCCTCGGAGAAAGGGAAAGATACTTTACTATACAATTACTAAGATAAATGGTATTATTATTTAGCTACATGTGTTTCATCTGCATAAACCAGTTCTTTGTGCCCTGTGCCCTTACCTTCTCAGGCACACATGGCATCAAAAAACACCCTTGCAAATTATGTAAAAATTGCAATACAAGCCAGGTTACTCTTCTGCATCATCTGCTCAACCAACAGTGTGTCTCTCCAGGGCCTGCAGACTATGAGTGGCCTCAGTTTCCACTCAATTTTTTTCATGCCCTCTGTCTTCTCCTGTCTCCCTGGGCTCTCCTCTCTGCTGGACACTTTTCTCAGTCACTCCCTGACCTCCCAGTGCTTTTCACTGTAATTGTGCTGGCAGATGTTACCTAAAAACACTATCCCAGTTTGGTGATCTGCACATTTTCCTCTTCTCTTGCTGCTGTTTGATGCATTTTTTTTATCTTATGAGCTCTTTTGCCCTGGCTCCCTCCTGCTGTTAAACCCAGTTCCTGCAAGAGAAGTGACAGTCAGTATCTCCTCCATGGTGCCTTACCTTACCTCTCTGACCTGGACAGCTGGTGGGAACCATCACAGCACCTCCCAGTACATGCTTGTCTCTGGGTGTGGAACATAGTTTCTGAAGGAGAAGAGGGAAACTCACAGTAATGCCTTGGCAATCTCCTGCTGGTAGAGCTGATTGGAAGGCAGCTCTCCAGGCTGCCAGTGAAGCAAGTTGGCATCAAGTCCTAAGGCTGGTTCAGGGATGCGTTTGAGTAAAGTGACACATTCTCAGCTCCACAGCTTCTATGGGCAAGCCATGTCAGTGCTTCACCACCCTCACAGGGAAGAATTTCTTCCCAGTGTCCCATCTAACCCTGCCAGATAACAGTGTGATGCCATTCTTCCTTTACCTGTCATACCAGCTTTTCCCAAGTCCCTCTCCAGCTCTTCTGGAGCCCCTTTAGGCACTGGAAGGGGCTCTAAGGTCTCCCTAGAGCCTTCTCTTCTCTGGGCTGAACCCTGGCTCTTAGTCTGTCCCCTGAACAGAGCTTCTCCAGCCCTCAGAGCAGTTCCATGGCCTCTGGACAGCAGGTCCACATCCTTCCTGTGCTGGCGAACCCAGAGCTGGAGGCAGCACTGCAGGTGGGGTCCTGTCTGAGTGAAGAAGGGGGACAGAACCCCCTCTCACCTGCTGCCCATGCTGTGGGGATCAGCCCAGGACAGTTAGTTTCTGGGCTGTCGGTGCACATGACCAGCTCATGTCCAGCCTCTCACCAGCATCCCACATCCTTTTTGGTGGGGTTGCTCTCAATCTCTTTATTCCACAGTCTGTATTGATACTGGGTGTTACCCTGACCCATGTGCAGCACCTGCATTTGGTCATGTTGAACCTCCTAAAGTTCCTGTTGGCCCACTGATTGAGCCTGTCCAAGTCCCTCTGGATGGCCCTGCTGTCTAGGCACATCACCTGCACTGCTCAGCTCGGTGTCATTTGCCAGTGGGCTGAGGGTGCGCTTGATCCCACTGTCTGTTTCATTGATCCCACTGTCTGTTTCATTGATGAGGATATTGAATAGTACTGGTGCCAGTACAGACCCCTGAGGGACATCCATTGTCACAGATGTCCATCAGTACTCAGCCATCTGTCCATCCATTAATCTGTCCTTTTGTCCTTCTGTCTGTCTATCCATCCAGGCAACCACCTGTCCACTCTCCCATCTATCCTATCCTCATCCATCTTGCCATCCTTCCCTTTGGCCTGGCCGTCCCTGCTCTCTCCATCTGCCCAGCCATCCGCCTGTGAGAGACTGGAATGTTTATGGTTAAAGACTCAAAACATTTGTGCCCCATCTGAAGTGTTACATCATACAGTGTAGAACTCCTGCTCCAAGGGAGGTACCTGGGTGTTCCCACTAAGCCTGGGTATATATTAACCTATTGATCTTTGCATTTTGCAGGCTTCCTCCACCCCTGATAGATCAAGACCGTGAACATCACTTTGACCAACTTTAATTAAAATTGCAACAACCAGGTTTGTTGCTGGACCTGCTTGTGGGTGATAACTATATAAGCATTCTGTTCTTATCCTTTCTTTCTCTTTCTTTTTCCTTATAAATTTTCTTTAATGTTATTTTTATGCTTTTATATTGCTGATAGGAAAGGTGAATGCTAATGTCTTCACAAACAATTTCATGGGTGTGGGTATGGGTATTAACGTCTTTGATATGAGTCTTAATATCTCTACTAACTTTGAGCCACAGGTTTGTTACAGAACCCAGACTGTTTGACTGCTGAAATGGCAAATGGGTCTGCAAAAGTCTGAGTTTCTGAACTTGGGCCAAAATTTTATGTTTAAGGGGGGAATATGTGGTAGGTGATTTGGGAAGGCCTGTACATTCTGAGTACCTCAGCCAGTGGGGAAGGGAAGAGGGCAACGTGTGGCTGGGAATTTAGAATAAAAGAAGGCTGCGCCCTCCAAAACTTCAAGAGAGAAAACCCAGTGGGTGTGTGCCCCAGTGGACTCTCTCCCTTTATTCAAATAAAGTTGCAGGACTCCTCTGTCTTTTTGGACACTGGCTTTTCAGTGTGTGATTTTCTGCCCATTACTATAGATAATAACCCAAACAGCTGCATTTTAAAACTTGCTAAAAACCTTATTCTACCTTAATGTTCTAAAGTTTGCAAAAAAAGTTTGTCCTTGAACTTCCTGAGTATTTTGTTGTTTCTCCCACACACTGCCCAAAGTAAATCAAAGAACCTTCCCCTAAACCCTCCAGGCAGACTGGGGCATGACACCACCTCAGCTAGTCATCCAGGTGTGCATCCATCCCTCATCCTGGCTATCCCTGCTGTCCATCTCTCCGGCTATCCAGCCCAATCATTATTTCATCTGGCCATTCATCCATCCATCTGTCCAGACAATCCTTCCCGTCTCTCCCCTGGCCTGGCCATCTCTGCTGTGTGTCTGTCCATATGGCCTATGGCTGGCCAATCCTGCTGTTCATCCGTCCATCCATCCATCCATCCATCCATCCATCCATCCATCATCCGTCCATCCATCCATCCATCCGTCCATCCATCCCCCCCAATGGAGAGAGGGAGATGTTTGTCCCTCCATCTATCCCTGGCCCCCACCCACTCACGAAGCCTTCTCCACCCAATTTCCCCCATGACCCTGAAGCGGATGAGCTGGACAATGACTATCCCTGCTGCAAGAACAAGGACAAAGTGACACCTTGCAGGGGAACAGAGAGGCACAGGTGGGAATCCCCATCTCCCCCAGGCAGAGGATGGGGATGAAGATGATGGTGAATACCATTCTGCAGGAGCAGGACAACCCCTACATGTGTGACAGGGTAGGGAAGTTTGCGGGAGACAAACCCCCAAAATTGACCCCCACCAGCACAAGTACAACGGCATGACTGGGAGCTGAGAAGCTGGAATAAAAGTGTGGATAGGGACTCAGAACCCAGCTTGGGAGGGTTCCAGACCCCATTTGGAGATTCCAGGAGTGCTGGGGGAGTCTCTGTCCTATTGGGGGGGGTTCTGGGGGTCTTGGCCTCTTTTATGGGACCTCATGTGTCGTGGAGGGGTCAGACAGGTGGCGAGGGGAGGTTTGCCCCTTGCTGCATTTGAGGGTGCTGTGAGGGGATATTGGTGGAGGGTGTTCTCAATGCCTGTGTCGCCTCTACTCTGGATTTTGGTTGGGGTCAGCACTTCTGGGTGAGTCACCACCAGCTGCTGCTGACAGTGGTTTTGGGGTGGTTCTTGGGTTGTTTTGTCCTTTCCCAAAAATCTTGCAGGGATATCCGACTGGTCTTGGGACTTTGTGCAGCCAGCAAGCTCGGTGCTGGTTGTGAAGCTCAGGATGAGTGGAGCTGGTGCTGGCCACACCATGCCACCAACACCACTGGCAGTTTTTGTAAGCAGGCAATGCCAAGTGCTAGGAGAGCCTCTGCAGCTCCATTCAAGGCCAAGGAATAGACTACTGAGGAACCACTGCGTCTGGCTGTGCTGAATCTGGCTTCCCACTCCAGTTTGGGGAATGTCACAGGGTGAATAGAAGCTTTAAACAAGTCTTGCCAGTTTAAATTCAAGAATTACTCTGGCCCACAAGTTCTAAGGATAGTGCATTAGGTCTATTTATAAATGAGTTATTTATTAAACAGACAGGAGATAACATGAAAGATGTTAATTAGAATTACTTACTATGCCGTATAAAATTAAAGGAACTACTAGTAAATTATATGGAACAGTGCACAATATCAAGGTACCTATATTAAAGCCAGTAAAAGAAATAGTACTGATTAGGAGTCAAATGTAACTTACTACCGAGATGATGATAATGTACAGAGAGTTCTTTTACTCAGCCTCCAGAGGAGTAACTGGAAAGCAGGCATCCCTGTTATGGAGAGAAACTACACACATTTCCAGAAAAATGTGCAGATTTTTGCTTTGTGAAAGCAGCTTTTTTATAGTTTGTGAAGTGAGGTGTTTGTCAGACAGAAATCCAGCTTATTTTGCCAAATTTCACTTCAACAGTAAGGTGTTGGCAGTTGGGAGATGCCAGACTAATGTTAACCCCATGACACCAAAATAATTCATACAAGACAACTTGCCCTGTTTGAGCTATCTGACCAGTTAACAAGCTACAGGTAAGTTTTTTGGGGTGTGAGATGCCCTCCTACAGGAGAAAAACAGAAAACACAAGTTTTCTGGAGTTCATGTTGTTGAGCCTGGGGATGGGGGTCCCCCATGCTGCGGTGGTGAAAGTGACAGGCCTTTGCCAAGTGCTCTGCCAGCCCTGGGTGAGAAGCTGGGACCCCCCCCCCAAGTCTTGGCAGTACCAAACTCCCCAGGCAAATAATCAGTTGAAATGCCCAGTTTTTGGCAAAACTATTTATTGGGGCATCAATGTGAGAAACATAGCCGGTAGCATCTGGCACAGTACGTTCTGTTGCAGCCCTGACTGTGGTCTCCTCCAGCAAGGCGCTGGGTTTTGGTGGTGGGGGTGCTTGAGGGTGAGGAAGAAGAAGGTCTCTTGCAAGCTCTGGACTGCTGCAATGTATGCAAGGGTTGCTGTGGGGTCTCAGTGATGCTGGGAGTGCCACTGGCTCTGGGGTAGGAGGAGCGTGCTGAGTACTGCAGGGGCATCCCAGCCCAGCCTCTGGAGCCTATTCTCCAAATCCCTGGAGGCTTGGGGTTGCGCCACATCACCAGAGCTCTCTGTGGTGGGGAACAGGGAGGAAAGCATGGGGAGGGGTTGAATGTTACCTCCTTTTTTTGTGGGAACCTCAGGCACCCAGGGACATGTAGCGCCAGGAAACCCAAGTATGGAAGGGACCCCAAGCACCCTTTGTCCCAGAGTGCCCATTCCCAGGAGCCCCCTCCCTGTACCTTGGCACAGGATGAGCTGTAGCATGTTCCAGGCAGGTTCTGTTCCATGATGCCACTGACTGGGCTGCCATACCAGTGGCTATACCGTTTCATTTTGCTGGGAGACCGTGGCACAGCCAAGTGACCCTTGGTGGGCTCCATCTGGAGACACCAGTGGTGCTGACAGTGCTGGCTTCCACAGTAGACGAGACTGGGGGCTTGACAGATGTCCTGCTGACACTTGTCACCGGTGTCCCCAGCTGGCTCAGCTAGGCTGAGCCCATCCATCTGAACAGTGGCCTTCTGGATGCCTCCCTGGCTGACAGGGATGAAGGTACCTTTCTCTCTGCCTGGGAAGATCTCGGCTATGCTGGAATCCTTACAGGAAGCCCGCAGGTCTTCCTGGCTGAGCTGGTAGTACTGGGTAGCCTCAAAGCTGGCCTTCACCTCCTGCATGGAGATGAAGGGATGATGAAGGGCAGCACTGGGTGTGATTCGCTCATGTGAGTCCCAAGTGAGCATCCTCTTGACCAGCTCCACCATCCTGTACAGATCACAATGCTTAGCTAGCTCCTCCTGATCAGGATCAGGCATCGGGCAGACATTCACCACCGCCAACTGATCCAGTGAGGAAAAGATATGCTCCCTCCTCTCCATTGGCTTTGCTATCACCTTCCCTGGTGGTTTGAGCTGCCAGGTACCAGTGGAACATGGCACACGTTGGAAGAAGGACTGTGTCTTCTGGGCAGCGCAGAGCAGCTCACCCCGGGGTAGCCCCAAGGTGGAGCAGATGTAGCATACCTGGTCGTAGTCGTCATTGCCAGGGTAGAGTGGCCAACCCAAGTGAAGCTCGGCCATCACGCAGCCCAAAGACCAGATGTCCACCTTCTCGCAGAAGGGCAATCCCAGCAATATCTCTGGTGCCCGGTAGAAGCGGGTTTGGATGTAGGGCTCCTGGACATGGCAGACCTCAGGGAGGAGGATAGCTGAGCCAAAGTCAACAAGCTTGATGCGGAATGGATAGCGTGCATGGTCCACCAGCATGATGTTCTCTGGCTTAAGGTCAGCATGGATGATGGAGAGCTCCTTCAGCTTGACCAATGCCACCAGCACCTGTGCTGTGATGGTACGGATGTGTCGGACTGGCAGAGGTGAGAAGTTGTTCTGCTTTTGGAAGTCAAAGAGGTTTTGCTGCAGCAGCTCAAAGACCAGGTAGGTCCAAACTGTGTCACTGAAGGACTCGAGGAAATGAATTATGTGAGAGTCCTTTGTGTTCGCCTCTCGCAAAGCCTGCATCAGCCTCAGTTCATTCTTCACTATTTGGCCATCATGATCACAGTTCTTCAGGATCTTGATGGCCACCATCTCCCCAGTGCTCCTGGACTGCCCCTGGATCACCTGTCCAAAAGTCCCCTTCCCCACCATGGCCATTATGTCATAGCACTCGGCACCTACCACTAGTGTCACCATGGTGGGTTGGCTCTTCACCAGGGGCTCAGGATCCTCCAGCTCAGCACCCAGTGGGGACTGGGGACACCTAACTCTCCCAACCCTGCCTCACAACCCTGTAGGTTCCAGCATCACCATGACAACACATGATGTCACAACAGAAGCAACCTGGGTGGAGGAACCCCCTGAAACCAACACTGGCCCTCCCGAATCCAGCCCTGCTGTCCCCAGATCCATCCATAACCTCAATAACTCATCCCTGGTCCCCCCAGAATGGATCCCAGCCTCCTGAAAACTCATTTTCAATGCCCTAACCCCTTTCCCTGGTCCTCCAAAATCCATCCAAGTCCTCCATGACCCATATACAGTCACCCAAAACCAATTTCTAGTCCTCTAAACACAGTCTCTTGTTCCCCAAAACCCATTCAAGCCCCCCAAGATCTATTCCCCAATTCCCCAAAACCCATCCAAGGCCCCCAAAACCTCCCCTAGTCTCCCAAGCCCATCTGAGCACCCCATGATACATACCCAATCCCCAAATCTCCAGGCAAACATAACCCGCCCCAGGTATCCCAAACCCAGCCCTAGCCCCTTGAAATCCACTCCTGTTTCCCTAAAACACAGCCTAACTCCCCCTCTTATTGCCAGCCTGAGAAAATCTGTCTCTGGCTCCCCAAACCCCATGCCCAGACTGCAGTTTACTTTTTTTGGGCATTAACATTTATTTGGGCATTAACATTTTTTGGGCATTAACATTTATTTCAGCCAAGCCAAGTGCAAGGAGCCCTACCCTACTTGAAAGTATACACAAAATCTTTGAACACCCTCCAAAAAAGATGGATTCAGGGGAGTAAGTGAGTTAAAGAGGGTTTGGGGCAGTGATGCTCTACCATCACCATTTTAAGGGATTGCCAAAGATTCCTGTGTTTGGTGGGAGGATCATTGCTCACCACAGAGTTGGGAGCTCAGTGCCAGCTTATGCAGCTGAAATTTAAGGGTTCCCTCACCCCTGAGTCCCCCCAGACTGAAACATGGGGTGACTTCCATCATCACAGGCTGCTGGTTGAATTGGGGGCCCCTGGGGAAGAGCTCAGCATTGGGTAACAGCCTCTTCTTCCCCTTGTGCTGAGCGATGGGGGCTCTGGTGGGGACCCCTCAGAGGAGAAACACGTGCTGGGCATCCACTGCCAACAGTGGACTTTGCCCTCTGCAGCCCTATTGACATGGGGCTGGAAGTTCTCCACCTCTTTGGTTTCTCCTTTCTCCTTCAGTTTTACCACTGCTGCTGTCTTCACACTGCCCATCCTCATCCTCCCCTCACCTTCCAGCGCACTCCCAACCAAAACTATACCAAATTTTTGCAATTTGATTCTAGACCAGCATCCCAGAATTGTATCCTTCCTGGTGGTCTCCTTCATTGATCCATCCATCCCCAGTGGTCCAAATTCAATACTGGCAGCTTCAACATCTGCATGCTGGTGGGTTTTGGTATCCTCTGCCTGAGTGGATCCTCTGGTTGTTGCACTAAGACAGTGCAACCCACCAGTGGAGACAGTAAACTACTGGGTCAATGGCTGCACTCACTCCTCTCCCATTGTTCCCCTGGTTTTCAGTTTGAACTGGATTGTGTCAGGAGACTATAACTTCTTCCTTCCTGCTGTGACAATGATTAAGCTCCCAGGTCTTTCCCCACGTCTCATTATTTTGGGGTCCTGTTATGATCTGGTTTAAACCCAGAAGAGCAAAAAAACCCGAAGTCTCTGTGTATAAAATGGAAAGAATTTGAAAGTTCAAAAATGTGATTAAAACCAAACAGGGTTAGATGTTGGTGCCAAAAACTTGATATATTTTATTTAATAGTAGAAGAGGGAAGGAAGGAAGTGGCGGAAGTGGTGGAAGGAAGTGGCAGAAGGAAGGAAGTGGCGGAAGGAAGGAAGGAAGGAAGGACGGAAGGAAGGAAGGAAGGAAGGAAAGAAATGTGCGTGAGGGGTGGGGGAACAGGGAGAGAGTGACAGGGGTTAGGTAGAAACATTATCACCTTTCTGGTGGTCCCACTGATGTCTCATTGCTCCCCTTCATCTGGTCTTGGTGGTGAGGTGTCGCTGACTCTCCGCGTGTTGAGACACGAGGCTTGACTCCATTTCAGAAGGCTGATTTATTATGTTAAATATTATATTAAAATACTACATTAAGACTATACTAAAAGAACAGAGAGATCAGAAGGCTACCACAAGAATAGAACAGAATAGAATAACAAAATCCTGTGACTGCTCACAGCCTTGGCACAGGTGGCTGTGATTGGTCATCCATGGAAAACAATCCACATGGACCAATCATGGATGCACCTGTTGCATTCCACAGCAGCAGATAGTAATTGTTTACATTTCTCTCCTGAGGCTCCTCAGCTTCTCAGGAGAGGAAAAATCCCAGCAAAGGATTTTTCATAATATCATGGCTACATCTGACCACTTTAGTTTTGGAGAAATCCAGCAAAATTTGCAAATTTCTAGCTTGGGTGTCCAGGGTGTGCCAGGGTGAGTGGCCGCAAACAGAGGCTATTTTCCAGGGAAAAAAGAAGTCATTTGCCCAGGGTCTGGGTATCAGATGAAATCTGGAGATGACAGCTCTCAGAATGTGCAGGGACCTAGATTCTGACCACTTTAGTTTTGGAGAAATCCAGCAAAATTTGCAAATTTGTAGCATGGGAGGCCAGGGTCAGCTAGGGCGAGTGGCCACAAACAGAGGCTATTTTCCAGGGGAAATAAGTCATTTGCTGTTGTGGTGCAGGATTCATTTGCTGTGCTCTGTTACCCCCTAAAGCTATAATGGTTCAGTCCTGGGATCCCCCTCTCCCCCTCCCCCGGAACCTCTCCCTCTGAGAGTGTCAAGTTATCATCTCCTCCCCTGTTTCTCTGGTTACCTTCTGTCAATCCCTCCCCAAGTTCCTGTCCATCACCCACTGTCTCCTTCCCACATTCCAGAAAGTTCTCCTCTCTTCAGTGGGTGATTGGATCAGGAACAAGGGTCCCTCCCTGTCACATTCCCTATTGGCTAGCCGGCATATTTCTCACGAGTTTGTTCACTCCCTAGTTCTCCCTCATTGGTTAATGTGTCGTGTTTCCGCCCCCTTTATAAGCTGCTGTATTCCTGCCTCATGGTCCCTGCTCGGCTGGCTCCCTGGAGTCAATAAAAAGCTCAGGATTTTACCCCCGAGGAGTGTCCCTCCTTTCTTTCTTCTACTTCGCCTGCCTGCTGCTCGCTGCTGCCCCTTGCTGAGGCGCTCCCGGGACGCCCCCGGCGCATCTAGGAAGTGCCCCCCCCGGCTGTCGGCTGCAGTGCCTTCAGCTCAGCCGGTGCGACCTCCTCCCCTCCCCGGGGAGTAGAGAAACTCGGACAGCAGCTCGGCAGTTTGGCGCCCCAACGTCGGGGTCTGTGGACATCGCCGGACCCCACGGCAGGAGGTCAGTGGCCAGTGGGCAGGTTTTGTCCTTTCTGCTTGGTTCATCGGTTGCTCCGTGGTCGTCAAACTACCTGTGTCTGCGAGCAGACCTCGTTTTAGAGGTGGCGCTGCAGACCGGGACGGGATCTGCAGCTCTAGCACTCCGGAGTCGGTCCCCGGCGAAGTCTATCCCTTGGAGTTTTTCTCCCGTCGGCACTGGTCAGAGGGTGAGTACCCCTAGCTCCCCATCTTCGGGTGGTCTCCCTCGCCTAACCCCCCAGGTTTCGTCCGGTCGGGTCGGTGGTTTCGTCCCAGACCCGGTGGGGTTAGGGCTGGTGTCTGGGGTTTTTTTTTAATTCGCATTACATTTATTTTCACTGCAAGGGGTGGGTTTGCTCTGTCGGCATGGGTGCTAAACTGTCGACACAGCAGAAGGGAGTGCCTCCTCTGTACCTTGAAATAAGGGGATCCTGAGGGGAACAGAAACCAATCCCCAAGTGCCAACATCATCCATCACATAAAATGGAAGACACGAAGAAGAAAGAAGAACACAGGACCATGCCCTGAATCCTCCATCTTGTCTTCATGACCCCCCGTACCTATTTTTCCAAAATTTTTATTTTCTTCTGTAATGTACTATTCACACCCAAGAAACCCTCATTTCCTCACACACAGATTCTTCCCCTTTAGATGGATCAAAGTCAAGCCACCAGACACTTTTGGCAACATTCCAGGGTTTTCGAGGCCCCCAGGGGCTTCCCTGGTGTCTCTGCACATCCAGAGTGGTGTGCTGAGATCCCACACCGAGAAATGCTTTTTTGGGTCCCCTAAGGGTTGGTTTTAAGGTGTGACCCTCCTTGGGAAGTTGTTTTGCCCCTTCTTTTTTACAGCGTTTTAAAGATTTAAGGTGTGACCCTCCCCAGAAGTTTTCTGCCCAAGAATGACTAGAAAACAGTAACAATGAGTGCTTATACTGTGACAGGGAAATGGTACAGTGATCCTTCCTGGATTTCTTAGCAGCTTTCAGAGCAAGAACCTTTGTGTCTGGACTGGAGTGGGCTAGGAACCATTGGCACAGTGTCCAAAGTGTCATAGACTGGGTCTCAGCCTTGTGGGCAAAACCCAAGTGCAAGTCAGGAAAGAAGAAATCTTCCACTTGTGTGGTGTTGGGCGCTGGTCTATTTGCCACTGTACAAGAAAGGGCTGCTTGGCTTTGCCAGGGGACAGCGGCAATCAAGTCCCTGAAACCGCTAGGGCAGGTACTGCAAATCCATATTGCAGACCTGTAGGGAAAACTGGAGGACAAAAGGGCGGATAGTGACGACCTGCGACAGGTTTCAGGGGATATGCTAGTGATGGGAGCTGGCATGCTGGTCCCTGTCATGATTATGCTGAGCCCTGCTGTGGCACCGCACACTGCCAGTCCCAGAGCTGCCAGTCCCAGTTGACTTAAGAGCACGTATTAGTGAGTTAATATACTGCATTTATACTGGAAAAAATAAAGACTGAGCGAGTCAATGGTGAAACTGAGGTCACAATTAAAATTAAATGAGTAAATCAGTTCACTGTATCAATGCAATAC